GATCTTTCTTCTATACTGGGGTCTGCACAAGGCAAAGCATTCCTATGTTAGGGAAACCACTGAAGGGGTAAATATGCCTGAAATCATTAAGATGCCTGAGCTGCTCCAGGAAAAAGAACACACATGCCTTTTAAACTCCTGAGTTAAAGTAGCCACAAAAGGTCCAGAACAACAATTCTTAATAGCAGGGGAGGTAAGGATTGGTGGGGTAGATGTTTATTCTCCTCTCTTCTCTCCTTGGTTGTGGTAAGTGGTAAAGTGAGCCACTATTATTGATAGGAATATACCAAGTAAAATACGGTAGAAAAACAGGCTGAGAAACACTGAGCTAGAACTTCTTTATAACTACTGTGCTTGTCAATTCACAGAATCAGAATCAAGATTTTGAAGGCATCTGCAAGAAAAATGAAGGTAGGCCCATTTACTGCTTCCAGTCAAGCCAATTCAACAAAATCCCAAATTAAACCATAAATCTAATAAACCAAGTAAATTAACTGCTAAATCCTACCCCCCAAAATTCTCCTCTAGGTCTAGTTCAAGATATGAAATGGTACTATAAGAGAAACACCTTACACAGGGACAGACTCCCCATAGCAGTTTTGCTGTTAACACATTCATGTCACTCAAAACAACACCAATTCACATTAAAAAATCCATTTCTTAAGCATCTGTGTACTCTTTTATTTTTATTTTTTAATTTTAAAGATGTGGGGTACAATTCAGGATTAGGTATACGAGTTGTCATCATATAGGCAAAGTTTGGGTCTCCCTCTGGTTCCCACTTTTCCTGGTTTGAGATCAGGTCCTCTTATTGATGTCATCTGCATACTCTTAATCCTATCCCCTCTTGCCTTCTTAGGAGTTCATTGCTACTCTGTTTTGGACCATCAGCCTCTATTTCTCCACAGGATTTTTCTATCAGCAAAAAATATGCTCTAGAATCTTCCATTTTAAAAAACATACACATATTCACACATTACTTGCTCCTCTTCAACTATTTCCCTATTTTTCTGCTTTCTTTCCTATCCAAACTTCCCCAAAGAGTGCTCTCCACCAGGACTGAAAACTGCAGCTAGTGTGCCAAATCCAGCCAGCCATCAGTTTTTAAAGTTTCACTGGAACTAGCCAATCCATTCATTTAATGTGTTGTCTATGGCTGCTTTCACACTACACAGGTTGTGATGGAGACCAAATGACCCGCAAAGTCAAAAGTTTTTACTATTTGGCCCTTTTAAGAAAAAAAATCTGCCAACTTCTGATCTGCAGTTACCACCTCCACCTTCTTACTGCCTGTTCACCTTTCTACCTGCTCCAATCTAGTGTCTCTTTTAATCCTTCTAGTGAAACTGCTAACTGAGATCATCAATGACATCAAGTTACCAAACCCAAAGGCCACTCTTCTCTCCTCACCCTTCTGACACAGATGGCCGCTCTCTTTCTTCAAACACTGACCTATTTTGGCTCCCATGACACCGCTCTTTCCTGAATTTCCTCTTACCTTTGAACCTTCTCCCTCCACCAATCAATCTCAGGGCTCAGTCCTAGATTTCTCTTCTCACTCTATAATCTCATTGTCAAGGATTTTTGAGCCTTTAATGTGCCATGGATCCTCCTGGCATCTGGTAAAGGCTATGAACCCCTTCTCAGAGTAATTTTTAAGTTACAATATAAAGTACAAAGGATTACAAAAGAGACATATTTTACTGAAATAAAGTTTTCAAGATATAAAAAAATTGTGGTGCTTATTTATTAATGAATTAACTAACAGGATCTAGTTATGGATCTAATAATTCTGTACTGTAATTCTAAAGTAGTAATAAGTGTAGACGCTATTTTGATATCAGAAACAACTGTGATATGAAAATATCTTGATTTCTATTGGTGACAAAATCACAAATATCAATGGTTTTCTATTGCTATCAATATAAAATGTAAACTCCTTATCACAGGCTGTAAAGTCCTGCATGATCCAGCCCCACCTGCCGCTCCAAATACATCTGGAGATATTCTCCCTCTTCTCTAGCTACACTCCAAACACGATAATCTTTCAATCTCCAAACATGCTAAGGTCTTTCCTACTTAAGAGCTCCTTGTTTATTTGTTTTGTTTTGTTTGAGTTGAGGTCTCACTCTGTCACCTAGGCTGGAGTGCAGTGCCACGATCACAGCTTACTGCAGCCTTGACCTCCTGAGCTCAAGCAATCCTCCCGCCTCAGCTTCCCAAGTAGCTGGGACCACAAGAGCACACCACCACACTTGGCTAATTTTTTGTAGCAATGAAGTCTTGCTTTGTTGCCTAGGCTGGTCTTGAACTCCTGGGCTCAAGTAACCCTCCTGCTTCAGCCTCCCAAAGTACTGGGATTACAGGTTTGAGCCATTGTTCCCTGCTCTTAAGAGCTTCTGAACCTACAGTTACCTATTTTAATGCTCTGCTTCATGCTCTTAGAACGACCAACTCTATTGCATCCTGCAAGTCTCAGCTTAACTCTTACTTTCTCAGACAGACCATACCGACTATTCGATTTAATTAGGAACCCTTGATATTCTGTCATAGCACTTTCTTTGTTGACTTTTCCTTACTCTATAATTATAGCTAAACCTTGAACAACATGGGTTTGAATTGTGTGGGTTCATTTATATGCAAGTTTTCTTCTACCTCTGCCACTCAGAGACAGTAATCCTGCTCTTCCTCAGCCTACTCAACATAAAGATCACAACGATGAAGACCTTTATGATGATCCATTTCAACTTAATGAATAGTGTATATATTTTTCTCTTATGATTTTCTTACTAACTTTTCTTTTCTCTAGCTTACTTTGAGAACACAGTATATGATAATATAACAGAAAATATATGATAATTGACTGTTTATGCTATCAGTAAGGCTTCCAGTCAAAATATTTTTGGGGAGTAAAAAATTATATGCATATTTTCAACTGCACAGGATATTGTTTAAAGGTCAACTGTATATATTTATTTGCTTATTGTCTTCTCCCCTATATAGAAGGGAACACCAATAAAAGCAGGAGCCATTTTACGCACCATTGTGTATTCAGGACTTAGTGCAGTGCCAAGTAGGTATCAGGAATACTCAATATATATTTTGTGAACAAATACGGTCCTGGCCTGAAAGCACTTTCTATGTGGGGCAATAGGGGTCTGAAAGCCCTTCAGAAGATACCTGGTAGAGTGATTCCACGATTCTACTGAACTTTCTCAATTAGTGCTTCTCTAAAGGAATTGTGCTGCTGGGTTCCATTCTGAGAGAACAATCTGCAAACTTGTTGGAAATATATGAGAATTTACTTCTATCAGCGGTAGTGTATATAAAGAGGACAGTAATGAAAGAAACTTCTCAGGAAAATAAATTTTGTGACTAGGAATGAAAAACTCACTAGAGCAAAAAAAACCCAAAAATGTATTTATGATTCTATGAAACTTTATGAACACTGAGGCCACATGGCAGGGCAGAATGGCATTAATGAATTATAAAATCTCTGAAGAAAGAGATAAAAAATTAAGTTAGGCCTAAGCCAAGAGTGGTGGCTCACACCTGTAATCCCAGAATTTTGGAAGACAGAAGCAAGACTGCCTGAGCCCAGGAGTTCGAGACCAGCCTGGGCAGCTTGGCAAGGCCTCGTCTCTACAATAAATTTTTAAAAAAATTAGCCAGGCATGGTGATACATGCCTGTGGTTCCAATTACTTGTGAGGTTGAGATGGAAGGATCACTTGAGGCTGTGAGTGTGCCACTGCACTCCAGCCTAGGTGACAGAATGAGACTCTGACAAAATAAAAAATAAAAAATAAAAATTTGGCCTAAAGCCGCCTGCAACATAGTAAACTCTACCCTAACTTAATGTGTAAATGAACTGTAACTTATGAGTTAGGTTACAAATATAACAGGCAGTCATAGTAGCTGAACCTCCAGTCAATCTGAGGCTGAAGACTGCTGAAACATGACCAAACTCAGAACTGCAGCCAATCAGACTATTACATATCTCATAACCTTTTCCCTGGCGAAATATAGTTCATAGCCTCCACTGTTGGGCAGAGCATTCTGTGCCACTTTTGGTCCTGAGTATTACCCAGTTCATGAAACTTTTTCTGTTCAATTAAACTCTGTTAAATTTAACTTGTCTAAGGTTGTTTTCCTTTAACACAGGCAATACTTCTAAATTTAAAAAAATTTAAAAAAACAACAGCAGTTCCTTTTTTCCACTCTACAGTTACAATAAGAATCCTAGGCAGTCCACTCTTCCAGGTGAAATACCCTATGAACTACTAAGAGTCATATAACTACATTATAATTATTACTTTTTAAAGATCCTGGTATTACGAAAGAACAAGACTAAAATGATAAATAAGACCATTAACATTATTCCCTTCATAAGTTCCATATCATTTCATAGTAACTGGGGTTTTAGAAGTTGTTCCCTGTTAATAGTACTGAAATCTTCTATTTATGCTGCCTACCCTAAGATGATAAACAATTCAAAGAAGTGGTCTTATTATGATGAACCGCACAAACTATAGGCAGTCACTAATTATTTGATGATTTGCACGATTATGATAAAGGTTAAGAAGATTTTTTTCCTATATCACTCAATTTGTTATAAAATAAGTGGAGGCAAGGAATTTTGGCTCTGGTAGATCCCAACAATAATCCTCTGATTGGCTGCTTTAGTAGAAAGAGGGCAGTAAAAGCATTCATCAATATATAACATGTCTAATTTAACCACCAACTCTTTTGTCTAACAGCTGGGCTATGTGGGCATAGGCCAAAGAGCTAAATCTCTTACTCATGAAATTACTGAGTCATGAAAATAACACCTTCAGCATTCATATCTTTGAATGGCAAGGGTAGTCAATATGTAGGAGTTGCCAGCAAAAATGATGAATGCTGATGATACTGTAGAGTTCTCTAGTTTTAGCAATTCTGAGCAAAATAAAGTGAGGCATCAGTAACCAGAAAAGAAAAAGGAAACTGTAAGTGTCTTACGTGATATACTTGTTATAGAGGATGAAGGCATGTTCAATGTTGCCTTCCTCAGAGTAAATGGATGCCATTCGGATAATCTCAACTCCAGAGCGGAAGTACCGGCGGGGTGGAATGTCTTCATTCACCTCCACTGCACTACCCAGCTGGGAGAGAGCCCTCACCCGATCTTCGGGTGGGAGGCTTACATCTCCATGGTCAGACATCAGGGCCAAGTTCTGAGACAGAAAAGAGAAAACAGATGGCATCAACACCGCTGCCCCCGTCATCTCAGTACATTTAGCACAATGAGTTTATCTTATAAATCTCTACCTTAAGAATAAGAGAAAAATACCATATATTGTGGCTCATATCAAATAAGATCTCTTTCCTACAAGAAGGCTGAGACCCTCAAAGAAGCCCAAATCATGATAAGAGGATTGGCAGACCCCCAAACTCACAATCCCTGTGCCATATTTAGGTGGTATAAGGAGTATAACAATGATGGGCACCCGGAGGTTCAGTTCAAGTTAATTGCTCCCTGTCATTAGGTGGCCCTGTCTGCACTGCAGTACCCTGAGAGTAGGAACAGCATTTTTTATCTTCCATTATTTCTCTTTCTGGCTACTTATTTACATCCATTCACCCAGTACCTGGCAGTGTGAACACAGTGAACTTTCATGAGGATTGTTAGCTGACTTCAAGTTTAATTATTTTTATTTAAACTGAGAATGACATTTTCTGTAGTGTATTTTTTCATATTTGAGCACAAGGTTAGTTAGGGGAACTGGTCTGGGAATGAATGCTCATAATCATAACTCTACTCATAAAACTACTATTCCAGTCAATCTACATCATTGCTCATCACGGCAAGGAATCCAGATCTTGAAAACAACCTCTACTCAACTTCAAAGACTAAGCACTCTTTGAGTAACAAAAGGGAACAAAGGTAATCTGGAATGCAGAAATGAACCAACCTTGAAGTTTTCCCTCCCTGAACCCCAACTCCAGTAACCCTACAATCTTCCTAGATACAGTTGCTGTTAGAATCAGACTCCAAATTCCAATCAAGTATTATTACTCTGCGTCATCTCCAAAAGGTATTTGATACACACTGAATTACAGTACATGCTAACCAGCATGCTCTTGAAGATACAAGCTATAATAGAATTCATCTTGGAATTCAAGGCCCTGTGTCAATTTAGCCCTACCTTGTCTTATCCATCTTATACCTTTACTCCTCTTCAACAGAGATCTTTTGCTTCAGTCAGGATTCCAATCTGCCCAGGAATCCTCACATTTCAGTCTCATTTGTCTATCCACTTTTTTTTTGTTTTCTACTACAATTCTTCCCTTAGGACAGTCTTCTTCCAGCCAATTTTATCTTTAGGTCTCTTCAATATTCGGGCCACACTTCCTCCACAAAGTTTCCTTTCGAAAACACTCTAACAGCGCAAAAGCTGTGGGGACTGCTAGGGATACAGAGACATCCCATCTCTCACGAAGCCTCTTGAGAATCTCAGGAAGCCGCGAGCAAATCTAAAACCTCCCCAGGTTGCCTAATTAGTAAACCTAGCCCACAGCCCATAACAGAGAATGCTCCTTGCATTCCAGGACCTCTCGGGAGAGGTGCTTGTGGGCCGAGAAAGGAACCCCTCCGAGGCCAGCAAACGGCGCGAGGTGCCACGAGGTTGAGTCACTCAGAAGGGATGCAGCATCTGTGGACAGGTGGGAAGGGCGGCGGGAAGGACAGACCGGGAGGTACGAGGAGGCGAAAGGAAGTAGCAGGAATGAGAGGAGGGGGCGTATACAGTGGAGAGGGATCTAGCGACAACTGCTTGAAGCGCCCCCGAAGGCACTCAAGCCCAAGTCCCAAGCCCGGACAAAATCATCCAAGGTTTTCGAGTCTTTCGAACGCAGGAGGCGGGGACGCGCCGGGCCTGGCAGGTCAGGCTGCAGCCCGCGGGAACCAAAGGCCCTCGCGCGAGGCGACCTCGCCGAACAGAGGCTGCAGGGGGAGGCGAAGGCTGCAAGCTCCACACTCACGGCGGCTACTCTCCTTCAGAGTCCGACCACGCTCAAAACCCCTCCCCTGTCACACTGCCAGGACCCTTCCCCACCTTTCCCCGCGGATGAATCTCGGAGTTTCCGGAGTCGTCACATCCGGCGCTCGCCCCGCCCACTCACGCTCTTCTGTCAATTGCACACCCGAGCACTTAGGAACGGGGGCGAAGGGCTGGTGGGTGGGGCTAGAGTCGGCCTCTGCGGAAAATCCGGCCAATGAGGAGAGAGCTCTAAGCTATCATTGGTAAAATAAAATGAACACGGAAGAAGGCGGAACCAGTGACTAGGCTGTCATTTGTTTTTAAACTTATTTTGATTTGAGGCAGGGGTTTCTTACCCGATAGCCCCTCTGTCACACTCACATAAATCCTGCATTCAAGCAGGGATTGCTGATTCTAGGAAAGCTGCAGACTTGACTAAACTAATCAGGATTCATAAGTCGGAAGACAGGAAAACTTTTGAATTTATTTTCAGCTTATTTGTGTTACTTTCTACACAAAATTGGTAGCCTGAGATGTTAAGCAATAACTTTTATTGCTTATAAAAGTACATAAGACTAGCCTTTTAATTTCAAAACACGTGTGATCTCTAAGGGTCACTGTGCAGAAACAATGTGCTACACAGTTCCCTGACCTGAGACCAGGACAAGGTAGTTATATACAGCATACCAAATGCAGAGTGGTACATTCTGCATGTAAATGTGTGTATATTGAATATATACACACCTTCTTTCCAAAAAGGTTCTGCTAGCCTGCTTGTCATTCTGTCTCAGGAGACTTTGTATATCACCACTCTGAGACTTTATGCTTTCATTAAAAAAATTAACTCTCTGGGGACACTTTCCCAAAATTTATTGTGAAGACTCCTTGTGAGTTTGCTAGTTTGAGGATATGACTTATCCTTCAAGGTCTAACTTAAAGTCCCAATTCAGGTGTTACCTCCTCCATGAAGCCAGTCGCCAGATCTCATTACTCCCAGCCCCTGTTGTGTATGTTTCTCTTGGAGTTGGTTTCCTGAAGTGATTCTGTGTGGTCATTGGCTTTTCAGACTTATGGTAAAAAAGCACTCATTGGATCATCCCCTACTCAACTTCCCCCAACAAGCATTAATGTGCATGCTAGTGTTAAGGTCCACTATTGATTCTCAAGGATCCACTGCATATAAATCTGGGAAGACAGTTGTACAGGGCACACTGCTGCATTTTCAAAACTCTAATTCTCAATCAGAACAGCCTGGTACTGGTACAAAAACAGGCATATAGACAAATGGAACAGGACAGAGATTCCAGAAGCAAAACTTGATTTCTCAACCAAATCATCTTCAACAATGCCATCAATAATAACCTCTGGGGAGAGGAGACCTTATTTAGCAAATGGTGCTGGGAAAACTGGCTGACCACATGCGGAAGAATGAAACAGGACCCCCACCTATCACCATATACAAAAATTAACTCCAAATGGATCAAAGACCTAAATTTAAAATGTCAGACTATAAGAAGTCTACAAGAAAACACAGAAAACGCTCTTATGAGCCAAATAAGTCAAAAGGAAAAAAACAGTTCTATTTAAAAATGGGCAGAAGACATGTAGAGGACATAAATAGACACTTCTCCAAAGAAGCCATACGAGCAGCCAACAGATACATGAAAAAAATGCTCAGTGTCACTAATCATCAGAGAAATGCAAATGAAAACCACATTGAGATACCACCTAACTCCAGTAGGATGGCCATCATTAATAAATAAAAAACAACAGATGCTGGTATGGGTGCAGAGAATAGGGGATGCTTCTACACTGTTGGTAGGAGTGAAAACTAGTCCAACCTCTATGGAAAATAGTGTGGTGACATCTAAAGGAACTATTCCCTTCGCGGAATATAACTGGGGGAACATAAATTGTTCTACAAAAAAGAAACCTGCACACACATGTTTATTGCTGCACTATTCACAATGAAATGAAATGAATGAGTGAAAACATGGAACCAAACCTACTACTGCCCATTGAAAGTGGACCGGATAAAGAAAATGTGGTAAATATGCATGATGGAATATTACACTGTCATAAAGAAGGACAAAATCATGGACTTCACAGCAAATTGGATGGAGTTGGAGACAATCATCCTTAGTGATCTATCACAGAAACCAAGAACCAGATACCATAGGTTCTCACTGTTAAGTGGAACCTGAACATTTATCACAATAGCACAAGGGAGGGATCGACCGTGGTGGTACACTGCCAGGGGTGGGAGGGAGGGGAAGGTATGTAACAACATAAAGTGTACCTGGTTCTAAACTAGCAGAAGTGAGGACCAGTTGGAGGCCCATATTCTACCTGCACATAGATTACTTATGTATCTAATCCTGACTTGTACCCACATCTCTATAATAAAACAAAGTTATAAAAAACAACAAAAGTCCTCCAGGAAGACTTGCATGTGCGCAGACGTGTGTGTGTGTGCGCGCTACAGAAGATTCTTGGCATAACTACCTAGCCCTCCCAAAGGCTGAAAGCTAAACATTGAAGGTATTCTGTAAGCAAATAGGCTTCTGCAGCTCACCTGGGAAGCCCAAAGCAGGCTATGAATTGATATACTCTTTCTTTCTGGAGCCCACATCTGGCCATGAACAGTCTTTCTGAGTATAGCAGCCTTCATCTGACCTCTCGTGCACTCCACTGTCAGACTGCCTTTCCTACTGCATGCTCATTTTTATCTGCTCATTCCTGGGTAGCAACAAAGATTCCTAGAAGATGAAATTCTTAACCTGATATGTAGCATCAGAGTATAGAAGACACAGACCAAGTCAGAGGATCATTTGAGTCTAGGGGTTCAAGGCTATAGTGCAGGGGTCATCTCCCCCGGCGCTGTGGACAAGTACTGGGCTGTGGTCTATTAGGAAACATACCACACAACAAGAGGTGAGTGGGGGGAAAGTGAACACCCACTCCCCACCACTTGCATTACCACCTGAGCTCCATCTCCTGTCAGATCTGTGATGGCTTTACAGTCTCATAGGACCACAAACCCTATTGTGAACTATGCATGCCAGGGATCTAGGTTCCACGCTCCTTATGAGAATCAAAAGCAACTACTGATCAGCACAATACATGCAATACGCTTAAATCATCCTGAAACCATTTCCTTCCACCTCCCATCCATAGAAAAATTGTCTTCCATGAAACTGGTCCCTGATGCCAAAAAGGTTGGGGACTGCTGCTATAGTGTACTATACTGCCGGTGGATAGTCACTGCACTACAACCTGGGCAACACAGTGAAATACAATCTCTTCAAAAAGAGAAGAAAAGAAAAAGAAAGCAAAAGCAGGCCCAGAGTTGCTTTCTGAGAGTATTAAACACAAGGAAGAATGTCAGGCAGTTTTCATTTGTGTATTTGTTTCTCCTGTGAGAAATGCCATACCTACAAGGGCAGTTGCAGTAGTACTTAATGAAGGGGCATCATTCTTGACTACTATAATACATTCTTCCTGCAGCTAATGATCTTTTTAAAACAAAAAGCAGATTCTATATCTCCTGTGAATTCCCATGTCACTTGGAATAAAAATACAACCCCTTTACCCTGGATTACAGAGTGATTCAGACCATCTGACTTCATCTCCTAATCTCCCCTTTGCTTCCCAGTCTCCGACAACACCATCCAAACATCTGCTGCTTAACTGAAGTCCTTTGCATGACTGTTTCCTCTTTCTGGGGTTCTTTTACCCTGATCTTCCTTTGACTGACTCCGTCTTGCCCTTCATTTCTCAGCTTAGCTGTCACCTCCTCAAAGGGCACTTCTCTCACCACCCATTCTAAGTAGCCACCCAGTCACCCTGCAACACTTGGTCCTATTTTATTTCTCTTCACAGTCCTTACCATGGTCTGATCTTTCATTCCTCACTGAAATATAATTTCTAGGAATATAAGATCTTTTGCTGACTTGCTCACTGCTCTATCCCCAGTGCCTAGAATGAATTGTGACCTCAGAGGCACTCAAAGATTGTAGGATGTTCAAATAGTGTTGAGATAAATGTTTCACTGTCCCCAAAATGAATTATAGGAATGGACTTGGCATTATGGCGACAGCTGAGATGAACAATGAAAAACAATGACCGTTATGTTTCTGAGAACAAGTCTTCCCTACAAGACAATTAGAACTAGAAGCAGAAAGCTTGAAGTCTAGATGCCTTCATTAATTGAGCAAATGTGTATTGAGTAATATGCTCACGGATCAATGAAAAAGAAAAACTCATTTTCTGTTGCTTTAAGGTTTTTATGGATGAAGACTTAGAGCCATCAGAAAGAAAGACAGTCTTTAAAAGATGAGCAATGCCGGGCTCGGTGGC